CTAAAGGACCATAAAGAAAAACATGATGCATATTCTCCACATGATAACAAAATTGACATTTGGATGACTAAATAAAACCTTTTTTAATTAAGTTATCGTCAGTATGAATGAACTTATATAAAATTTTCCAGATGGAAATAGCAATAGTGGAAGGAATACTCTTATGCCAAATCATAAAAAAAATATTAGTAGCATCATTATTGGTTCTAAAAGCATGCCAAGCATCCTTTAATCTAAAAGACCCATCTTTGGACAAATTGCATAATAATAAATCCTCTGAGTCAGTGTTCAAGGGAATGTTAAAAATTTGTGGGATAATAGAGTCAAAAATCACATTTGCAAGTTTATCATAAGCCCAACAATTTTCAGTAATGAAAAAATTCACCTTAATCGCAGTAATGGAAGAAGTATTAGTAATGAAATCAATAGAGTGAGCACCCAACCAATGATCTTTCCAAAAAATAATATTCTCACCACCAAGACCCCAAGAAAGACGAGGCTCAACAATCCATTTAACCATGTAATGTCTCTACCACACTTTAGAGTCACCTTTGTTAAAAGAGCAAATAGTAGGGTGCTTACTCACACAATATTTGACAAACATAAACTTAGCCTAAATGCTCACTTTAGCACGAAATACGTACCACAACTTGAAAGAAAAGCATAGTCCAAATCAAACATACTCTTACACCCCAAAGCACCCTCATCCAACACACCATAACACATGTCCCAAGAGGACAATATATTTTTAGAATTGCTATTAGCCTCTTTCCAAAAAAAAAAATTATTGATAAGTTTATCAATTCTATTGCAAATCATTTAAGTAGGTTGAAGAGTCTGGAAAGTATAAATAGTGAGGCAACAAAGGACACTTCTAATGAAAACAAGCCTACCTCCAAAACTTAGAAAATTAGAATCTTAGGACAAAAGCTTCAATGAAGTAATCAAATCATCAAAAAGAAAGATTTTCTTTTTACCTTTAAAAAGTCGAACCCCAAGATACTTATTAGGAAAGTGATCTTCCGAAAAACTAGTTAGGGCTTAATATCCACAGTACGAGCATTAGGCACTTTGTTGGAGGCAATAAAATAACACTTATGTTTGTTCAAAAAGAGCCTACTAACAATTTCAAAATTATGAAAAAAACGTAAAAGTCTATTAATCCTATTTAAAGAAACAATCATAAAAATAATAAAATCATCGGCAAAATATAAATGAGAGATATGTTTTATTTAAAATAAAATAAAATAAAATAAACATAAATGAGAGATAGGAAATCCACCCAAGGTTCTAAAATAGAGACTAGGGTGATTCTCAAAGAGGTTGGCTAGGCTTCTAGATAAATACTCAGTCACAATAATGAAAAGGGCAGGAGAGATAGGGTCACCCTATCTTAAACCACGAGAGGATTTAAAAATCCAGTGCATTTTCTATTGACAATAAAAGAAAATAGAACCCTTCAATGCAATTTCTGATAAAACTATTAAAAATCAAATTAAAGATAAAAAAATGTAGAATATTGTAAAAAAAGTTCTAATCAATGTTGTCATAAGCCTTAGAAATATGAAGCTTCAAAATAATATTGCTACCTCTCACCCTAACATCCAGGTCATGAAAAAATTCTTGGGCCAAAAGAATATTATCAACAATAGCTTACCCCTTAAGAAAACCCATTTGATAGGAAGAGATAATTTTAGGAAGAATAGAATTTAAGAGACTAATAAGAATTTTATAAATTAACTTACTAGAAAAGGTGCAAAGATTAATAGGTCTAAAATCATTCCAACGAATAACATAGTTGCTTTTGGGTATGAGAACAATAGAAGTAGAAGTAAAAATTTTAGGTATAGTGTGACCAACAAAAAAATTCATAACAGTAGAGTAAAGATCAGTACTAATAATATGCAAAGCTTTCTCAAAAAACATAGTCGTAAAACCATCCGGCTCAGCCACAGAGTCACCATTCATGCTATAAACAATCTCTTTAAGTTCCTCTAAAGAAGGGGGTTTAGAGAGGAAATCATTATCACCTTAAGAGATGATATTAGGGATAATAGAAGGGTTATCAATATGCCCAAGAGTAAAATCCTTATTGAGATGGTATTGAAAATGCAAAACCGCCAAATTAGCAATGCCCTCAACATCCTTAGTAACATAACCAACATCACAATTGATTTTATTAATGGAGTTTTTGGAACATTTCCTCTTAACCAAAGCATGAAAATATTTGATGTCATTATCACCTTCAACAAGGTTTTTCACAACTGCTTTTTATTTCCAAAAAACTTCCTCCTGAGCTTGTAATTTAAAAAGACAATCTTTAGCCTCCCTGAGCAAGCTGAAATTTTCATCAGAAGTAAATAATTGACAATTAAGCTCAATAGTGTGCACTTTGTCTTCAGCATTCAAAATATTGATGAAATTATTTTTAAAAATATTGTGATTCCACCAATTGATGATTTATTTAAGTTTTTTCAGTTTAAACCAAAATCTCTTCATGCCAAGAACAAAGTTATCAGGATGCAAGGGGCATGCAAATTTTCTTGAACCACATCCAGAAAGGAATCATGAAGTAACCACATATTTTAAAATCTAAAATGAAGCAAAAAAACTCATATGCCTAATCTTGAGACTAATTAACATAGGAGAGTGATCAGAAAGAGTTCTGCTAAGATGCTCAAAAAAAAAAAGAATTAAAAGAGTTAAGCCAACTATCATTAAATAAAACTTGATCTAACCGTTGACATAAATGGCCACAGTTCCAAGTGAATTTGTTACTAGAGATACTAATGTCAATTAAATTACAATCCATAATAATATTATTAAAATCCTCCATTGAGTGATAGTTAGGAGTAGAGCCCTAATATGCTCAGAGTGATTAGAAATAGTGTTAAAATCACCACCCACAAGTCAGGGAAAGTTCCAAATACTATGAAAATTAATGAGTTGCTCCCATAACACTTTTCTAGTATTACGAGAAGAAGAAGCATAGATAAAAGAGGCACAACAGTTCAAATTTAAAAATTCAATATTACAATGTAGGACTTGAGTAAAATCTCCGATAACATCAATCCAAATATGATCCTTCCATGACACTGAAATCTTATTGGCAGAATTCGAAACAGAATGCTTAAAGCCCAAAAATCTAGTAGTAATAAGTGTGCAAGCAAAATAAGAATAGAAATATTACAAATACTACATAAGTTCTTTATCCTCAACCTAGAAGAGGGGAAAACAATGCCCCTAACATTCCAAATAATAGCTTTTAATATATAAAAAAGAATGATAAAGACTAGTTTGTGAACGGGTGCTCCTAGGAGATTGTAAAATGATGTTCTTGTTTTTCCTACCTCACCTATTTTAAAACTTAGTGAAGCTGGTGTCATTATCAACTTTGGCAAAATATTTAGCAACAATACCCTTATCCTTTGTACCAGTAAAAGTATCACTATGATAATGAGAGTTAGAAGGAAGCTTACTATCATTGTGCTGACCCACCTGGCTTATGTTTTGAGGCAAATCACTTTTCTCAAACATAAAACCATCCTCCGCACTTTCTTTACTACTCATGAAAAGCCCAGCATTTCCTTCCACAATGGGTTGGTCATCTTCCTCCCGAGCCAATTTACCCTCCTCCAAGGTGTAGCCATCCCCCACATTTTCTTTACTACTTATATCAATACTAGCATTAACTTCCACCACATTCTCCTGATCATTTACAATAGATGATTTAGTACAATTATTAGAGAGCATCATAAAATTCATATCAAACAAATTTTTGCTAATAACACAAGGACTAATTGAAGATGAAATAGCAATATTTGATTATTAGTGATAGCCAACATTTGCTCATCTATATTTTCACAACCAATAGATAAGATAGATGTAGAGTTAATATTATCTCCCTGAACACGAATAGGAACATCGACATTGGTGGAGGGCGGTTCAGTATGAACACATTAAATTTGTATTGAGTCCTCAATATTACCTTGCGGTTTAGGAATATTGCCCTCAACCTCTCGAAGATTAGGAATCTCATTATCATGAGAATTTGAAATAACAGCATTTCCCTGCGATTGTTTGGAGGAATCATTCTCCTTAAGAAGATGAGGATGCAACCTGTAGCACTTATTTAAGCCATGGCCATGCATTTTAAAGTGAGAATAAAAAATTAGCAAATTTTTAATATCAACTTTTTAGAAATAACCATTCAACTCTAACCCAATCCAGATCTCATTAGGTTGTTTCTTAAAAATATTAAACTCAACTAAAACACGAGCCACAGACGGACGAGAAATAGATGCAGTAGCTTGGTCCGTCTACAAAGGCCTACCAAAAATCTATGTTAGTCCAAAAAAATTTGAGAATTAAAGAAATGAAGTCCCAGATTCAGAAATGAGATCCACACAGGAGCAATAAGGGATTCCTCCCAAACATCAAAATCTAGTGTCCATTTGAGTAAACGCATCTGGCAAACTTGAATATAGTAAGATCTCCTATAAAAAATTTAGCTATAATCAAGATCATTAGAAAGTTGAATCGCAATGTACCTCTGATTCGGCAAATCGATATGAAAGGAGCCCAATAGCTTCAAGTTAACAAAAACATTGCAAATAAAATCTAGATTTGGTCCTCAAAGAAGGAACTTGCCAACCCAAAATCGAAAAAAAAAACTCAAAACAATGCAGGAAAAGAGCTAAGAAAAGAAAAAGGAAACAAATCTAAGGAAAAACACCAAAAAAAAAAATCACGCTAGTAGAGCGGAAGCAGCAGCTCGCTAGAAGAAACCCTAAATCGCCAACAACTTGCCAGAGACCATGAGCCCTTCGAAGTTTTTATGATTGTGCAGAATGAAGGCTTGGCAATATATATATATATATATATATATATATATATATATATATATATATATATATATATATATAGAGAGAGAGAGAGAGAGAGAGAGAGAGAGAGAGAGAGAGAGAGAGAGAATGAAAATACACTTAATAGCAATGTAGTGAGCATCAAAAAAATAGAAGTTGCATGAGAATAAACTGAAAAGTATTTACAACTTCCATGTAATGGTTCCATAATTTTAATTGCCAAATACAAATTGGGATTTACCCACAGGAATCTTGGGTGTAACAGTATATGATAGTGAGATGCAAGAAGGGTTAGAATCAGATACTACTGGTTGGAATGACACGTCAAATGCCAAAGAGTGGTAGAGACATACTTCATCCTCCTTGCAATAGTAAATCTTGCAGTTTATTCTGCCTGTTGCAGGTGAAGGGGAACTCCTGATGAACCGTAACGATGTAGATCCAGAAGTGTTTAAAATTCCACTGCTTGGCTCAAAGATAATTGCACCAGAAGACTCAGTTTCAGTATCAAATTTGCTTAGAGCTTCCTTTGAAAAATGATAACCTTCGGAAACTGAAATTTTAAGCTCCAGCGACCCTTCGGCAGATGAACCACCATCAATTTTTATTATTTCCGTGCCAGCAGAAGCCCTTCTTCTCAGGCGTTTTGGCAAATCTAACTTTGGTGACGGTGGCTGTACTCCTTTCAGTTTTAATGTGTCTAATATAGGGACTTTCCCATTCAAATCAAGGCATCTTATTAAACCGTTGTTTGTATCTGCTATAAGAAATTTTCCGGTCCCTGCTTCAGTAATTCCTGATGGTTCAGAAAGCTGAGCTGACAGACCAGGGCCATCCTTAAACCCAGCGTTTCCTGTCCCAGCTAATGTTACAACTCTTTTAGTTATAGGGTCCAGCTTCTTTATCTTGTGATTGTAGGAATCCGCTATATAAACTTGACCATCAGAGCCACAGAAGACGCCCAAAGGATGTTGAAAAAGTGCATCTGAGCCAATTCCATCAAGATCTCCAAACCTAAACAAATTATCCGGAAATATTGGATCCCCTCCTGCTAACATCCTTGCAGCTCCTGTTTTCAGGTCAACAGCTCGAATGGAACTACTCTCACTATCAGCTACATAAAGTACCTGAGAATCAGGAGAAAGTGATAACCCAGAAGGCTGTGCGAAGGATGTGTTTGCAGAACTTGAACCATTTAAGTTTCTCTCAAAGCCATCTCCAGTAAAAGCTTTGGTACTTCCATCAGATAGATTGTGTTCCCATATTTGATGCTGCCCAGCCATCGCAATATAAATCTTATCATTTGCAGCATCATAGCATAAATCCCATGGAGAATTGAGGACCTGAGAACTTCCCTTGCCTCCACCACTGTAGTCAGAACCTTTGGTTCCATCTCCTGCAATTGTTCTCACGGTTTCATTGACAAAGTCGATTTCCCTCAAAGCATGGTTTTCAGTGTCTGCAACGTACAACCTGTTTTTCTTTGGATTGTAGGAAAGGCCCTGTGGACGATTAAAGCAGGCATCATCAAAGGAACCATCACATAAAGCCTCCTGCCCACCGCTTCCAACTTGAATTCTAAAATTTCCATCAAGATCTGTTACAACAATGCGGTTGTGATTACTGTCAGATATGAAGATTCTGTTATTAGGGATATCGATTGCAAGCTTCCCAGGAAATTTTAAAGGAGACACCAATAAACGAGGATCAGCATCTTTCTCCAGAGCAAGGGGAATAGGTGAAGCTTCTAATAGATTCTTTTCCTCATAAAATTGAAGAGCTGCATCTACAAAATCATCAAGATCCTTGCGATGGCCTTCCCCAGCTAATTGAGCAAGAATCTTTCCATTAGGGCCAACAACAATAAATGTAGGCCAAGAGTTCACCCCCATTTCTCGCCATAAATACATATCACCATCGTTAACCACTGGGTGAGTGATGTTATAGCGCAGGACAGCATTACGAATGGCTTCAAGATCTTTTTCATTATCAAACTTTGCAGAATGCACTCCAATAACTGTAAAAGGCTTATCAGAATATTTCCTTTCTAAGAATTCCAAATCTGGCAACACATGCATGCAATTGATACAGCAATATGTCCAGAAGTCCAGCAGAACCACCCTACCTTTCAGATTCCTGGAAAACTGAAGTGGAGCAGTGTTCAGCCAGTCGAGCTTTGTTGGAAATTCAGGCATGGTTGACACAGTCCCCCTGGATTCTAAAGCAGATAAATAATTTTTGAATTGTAGTATTCTAGATGACCGGGACTCTCCTCCATTCTGACCAAATACTGGTTTTTTGTCCCATGAAAACCGATTAAGTATTCCTTTCAAAGATGCATACTGCATGACCTTCAAATTCGAGAGAGCAAAAAGTAGACAAGAAATAGCAATCCCCAAACTTCCATATCTCAGAATGTCTCGCCGAGAACCTTGAAATCTGCCAATAAATTGGGATTCCTCACTATCCAGAACATATCCATCAATTTCTTTTTCTGACATCTGCTCAGCGTAAGAATGACCAAGAGAACCAAGATTTTGATGATTCTGTGACCTCTGATCTGAACTTCCACCCTCTAGAATATCATGAATTGAAATATTTCCTATATCTTTTCTGACGAGTGAAGGACTGGCTTCCTGTATTCTCTCTTCGGGCAGTGTAGTGGTAACTGCAATGCATCTCATATTTGCAGTTTTGGCAGCCTGTACTCCAGCAAGAGCATCTTCAATTACCAAGCACTCAGAGGGGGGAACATTCAAAATTTTTGATGCTGCTAAGAAAATATCTGGAGCAGGTTTTAAGTTCTCGAATTCATCAGCTGAGACGATGGCATCAAATAGTGCCGTCGGCAAGCCAGCAGCAGACAGATTTGCATCAACCTTTATCCGATCAGCACTTGACGCAACAGCAACTTTGAGCCCTTTACTCTTACACTCCATTATGATCTCTAGAGCCCCTGGAAATCCAATGCCAGAATTGGGTTTTGCATACTCATCAAGATATATTTCAAAAAACCGTTTCTTAGCTGCCTCGGGATCAAACCCGTTAACCCCCTTCACAGAAGCAACACCTCCTAAAAAATTTGACTCACCAGTCCCCATGAATGGCACGAAATCATCGGCGGTGACGGAGACGCCCATCTCAGCGAAAACATTGACAGCGGCCATTCGAGATGGCTCTTCGCTGTCGCAGAGAACTCCGTCCATGTCGAAGAGGACGGCTGAAACCTTCCCCCACCCCATCGTATCTCCTCTCGCTTCCGCTACGCTCATGTCAACTTGCTGCGACGGCGGCGACGGCGGCGACGGCGGCGACGGCGGCGACGAAGAGGACGCAACAGTGCAGAAGAAGAACCGACGGCGGGCAGATAGTGTCGGGTTTAAGGTTCGAATTCGCCTCCATTGCCGAAGAGGGAAGGAGAGGCTGACGGTGGCGGAATAGCTAGAAAAGATAGGGTGAAAATGGGCATTCGCGCTCCATGCCGGTGAGGTAACCAACAAGTTCAGCGTCATCACGACAATATTTTAAACCCAATGAAGCAAGAATTAAAAGGAATTTTGTCTTGGAAGCACTGGATTTTAATTTAAGTTTGAATGAAGAGTACACATGGTTTATCCAATTCCAACTATTATAGGCCAAACAAATAGATGGGATTTATTAGTATCATTCCCTAGATGATTTCCAACTGGTAAAGGACCTTTGCGTGGCAAGTGGCTAGGTAAGCAAAAAATAACTTGCCTTTTTTATGGAGAGGATAACTTGAGATAGGTTTGGGCTAAACCAGAGCATGGGCTAGGTTTAGGTAGGGGTGTCAATTCGTGTCGGCGGGTCGTGTTCGGGTCAGACCCGAAAATGACACGGGATTACTTGACCCGACACGACCCGAAACTGGTTTCGGGTCGAACCCGACCCGAATCGGGTTCGGGTCAACATGACCCGACACGAAATTTTATAAATTCATTAAAAATTCCATATTTTAATAAAATTTTATAATTAGAGGCTTAGAGCAGAAGTTCAAAAGCAGTAATCAAACAGTTTTTAATGATAAGAAATTAAGAATAAAAAAATAATTTGACAATTTATATTTAACATTTATTACAAATTACAATCTACATATTACAAACTATATAATTTACAAAATTCAAAGAATCAAAATACATTTATTTATTCTTATACGGTTAAACAATAAACACTTAAACCGGCTACACCGGTCACCGGCAGGTCCGACCGTCCGACACGTCGCCAAGTCACAAGTGCCAACTGCCTTCATTCTTGACTTCTTTGAGTTCTTGTATCTTGAACCTATTCTCAACTTGCATTAATAGCAAAATAAAAAATTGAAGATGGTTAAACAATAAACATTAAAACTCTAAAAGTAAAAAGCTAAAAAATAATAAACAAATAGAAATGACAAAATTCCAAATAATAAGATATTGAGATTGGCAGATTCAGATTGCATAATGCCAGAATTGTACAAGTATAATTAGAATGCTTCATTTCATTAGCTCAGATAAACCCTTGATTTTTCTAACTATTACCATCCAAGGCGGTAAATTACATTAAACTTAATGACTTAATATAGTATCTATGAATTTATAAAGTATCTGCTCTTGAATTTAGTCATTTAGGTAATGCAAATGCCTCCTGGTTGCAATAGTATTAGCCAACACACGTGACACGACGGCTATCACTTTCTGCTTAGGAGGTTTTTCATCATTGCTTAAGCTTTCATAGTTATACACTTATACATTAAGCATTAGATATTCCAAAAAGATTAATTCATTAAGCATTTAAGCATCAATCATCAGATATTCAAAAATCAAAATTCAGAATGTCACAAACTCTGAAACTCACAATGTCATCAGATATTCATAAATCACAAGTTGAGAAACTCAGATATTCAGAGAAATAGATAATCAGAAATCAGAAATTCATTAAGCATCAGCCCAGGCCCCAGGCGCCCAGCGGCCACAGCCAAAGTTTCATTTTCTGTTCAGATTTCACTTTTCAGAATTCACAAACTAACAAACATAAATTTTAAACAGCAAAATACTAAGATTCTAACTTATAACATTATAAGCAGCCAGAGCCAGCAGCACAGGCCCTGAGGCCGGAGTGTAAAACCCTTAAAAAGCTGATTTTTTTTAGTGCAGTTCGTCTGTACGAACTGGATTTAGTACTGGACGAACTGAAGAAATTTGGGAAGGAATCTGTCATTTTCGTCTGTACGAACCTGGAGCGTCGGGACGATCCGTCTGTACGAAATCTGTCCAGAGAGCAAGTCGCCCGGGACGAATTTTAATTTCGTCTGTACGAAATTGGCCAGAGAGCACATCGTACCGGGACGAATTTTGGATCGTCCGGGACGATCAGTGTTAATAAATATCGGATTTCCATAGATACGAATATTCTATTCTGAATTTTCCATTCAGTTAAAAATAAGTGAAGCTTCTCACACAAAGCAATACCATCATGTGGTGGTGGCATAAATCCAAAATTGATAATTTTTTTCTGCAACAACCAGTTGTTATCAATGAAATGTGCAGTCAAGCAAATGAACCCATCTGTATTAATTGATGTCCATAAGTCAGAAGTTAATGAAACTCTACTATTACTTTTCAGAATCTCCTTTTGAATAAGGCATTTCTCTTTAGTAAACATTTTCTTGCAATCACTTCTAGCAGTGTTTCTAGATATTATTTGAAGATCACGACGGAGATATTGCAACAAAGAACGAAGACCAGGCCATTCAACACACTGAAAAGGAAGATCATGCATGATTATGCAACTAGTGAATAACTCACGAAACTCATGAATGTCAAATGTAGATTCAGTCATAGAGATAGTTGAAGTAGAATTGGACTGTATAATAAGTTGCCCAATGTCACGAGTGTCTCTTTTTTTACAATTTTGTATATAACGTCTTAAATTACCAGCACCATACTTGCTATCACACTGATATATTGCCCCACATCTTCTACATTTACATCTCTGCTTGCCATCACTATGAAGTGGCAACATCTCATAATAACCCCAAACCGTTGAACACATTCTTCGTCTTTTCTTAGTGGATGACGGTGACGGGTCATCTCCTTCTTTTTCAATAATATTACAGAAATCATCATCGTCTTTTTCATTGTCAACTGAAACAGGAGCATTTCCTACTTCAACATTCTCAATGAATGGAGTACTTTCTACCACTGTGTTAGAATCCTCCATCTATTGAACAACAACATTATATAAACAACTATCAAGTATTCAATCATAAAGACACAAACTAATATTGTAATGCATTATACATGGCTCCACCATCCAACAACAAGTCAACAACAACGTATAAAAAACTATGACAAATGTACAATAACAAGTTAACAACATTAACATTTTAATGTTTAATTTAAAGGACCACAGCCACAGCCCACAGGTATTCCTCATTCCACACTCCACACAGCCACACTCCCCAGGACTACAGCTCTACTGCCTCTACAGCAGCACGCAGAACCACAAGTCCACAAGAAATAACTTATAATCTAAAACAAAGCTAAAAGCCTAAAATCAATTACTGTTATAAAGAAAACGATTCAGACATAAATAAAATCATGAAAATCAGTACAGAATAAAAGAAAATAACTCAAATAAGTGATAATTATCAAAGCTAGGGTTTGCGAATCACGAAACCTTCATGGCATCACGACACCGTGTCACCGCATCACCTAGGGTTTCTGGTTGAGAAACCCTAAACTCATAATAAAGAAAAAATTTCTTGCCATTTTCCAAGCAATAATCATATCTAAACATTATATCCAAATGATCAAAAGAAAATTTTGGTTCTCGGTATGCAACGACATGGGGACTGGGGATAGAAGACTAAGAAGAGAACGACTGAACGAGACTTCAGGGGAGAAGGAGACATAAAATCAGAATTCATCACCTGCGATTCTTGCAAAATCGATCAAAGTATCAAACAACAACCGCTAAATCACGGAGAGAAGGAAAACTAGGGCACGCCGTAGTCGCACGCAGAACTGTAGAAGTCGAAGTCTCGGAGAGTCAGAGTCTCCTCTGAGTCCTCTCGTAATTATTTAAGGCTTTAAGCGGTCGAGCCTTATGGGTGCTGGGTGCAGCCGCGCACTCGCGTAGGCGCGTAGCGACGAACTCGAGCGGCAACCGGCGAGACAGGCGAGCCGCGAGTTAAATAAAGTCGGGTTGAAATCGGGTCAACCTCGTGTTTCCGGGTTGACCCGAACACGACCCGGAATCTAAACCATGTCATTTTCTTAGACCCGAACACGACCCGTTTTCTACCCTTGTCGACCCGAACACGTATTTTTCCGTGTCGTTTCCAGGTCGTGTTTCGGGTCGTGTCCATTATTGATAGCTCTAGGTTTAGGTGACTTTTAGGAATGCTCTAGAAAAGATTTAAACAAGCCAAACTAGTTGGTATAGGGTAGAGATAGGGGTTTAGTTTTTTTTTTATTTTTTTATTTTTTTAGGGTAAACCCTCAAAGGGGCATACACGTTAATATAATAAATAGTACAAAATCTTTAAAGGGATCTCAAGCTCAATAATGCTCATAAGAGATACAAAAAGAAAACAAAAAAATTTCTAGGAGCTCGAGTTCCCTACTACATGAAATTATGAAATAACTTAGGTACAATCTACGGTGCAAATGAAATAACACTTAAAAAAAGGGAAAAAGCAGAAAACCAGCAGCAAGCTCCACCTTCCCTTCCAAAAAATCATGACTACGATCACCTGCACTAAAAAGCTCGTGCAAAAGAAAATGGCAACCAAAGTGGAATTTGCACAAATAAAATAAAAAAAAGGTAGAGTGATAGTCCAAGCAATTACTTGGAGAGTTTGGAGGCTGAATGATCTCTCTTTTATTTATATTACTTATTCTGGAGATAGGGGTTTGGTTAGCTTCAACCATTTGGATATTTTAGGTTTTTTTACCAAACAATTCATCTTTGGTAAGGCCAACTAGAATAGATCCTAGGGATCATCTAGAGGCTATTTGGATCAAGTCCAAGGGATTTGATACAATGAATTTCAAGTTTACATGAAGGAGATTTGGGTTAACCTAGGTTTGACCACTTCATATTAGTTGAACAATTCAACCCACCATAAAGTGGCTAGGTTAAGGTTTAAGGATGTTTAAAGTTCAAATATACCAAGCTTGAGCAGTGGGGTAGGTAGAATTGATCATATATAAGTGTTTGTGAAATCTATACTAGTTTGACTAGCCTTGGATTAGGTTAACTAAGTCAAATGTTAACCAAAGTAGGTGGAAAAAACATGCCCAAACCTTAAGAAGATTTAATGGATTTAATTTGGTGAGGTTTTCTAAAATGGTGAGGCTTAGAGAAAATCAATGTAGGGGTTTGACTATTGAGCTAGCTTAAACTAAGTCAATCAAGTTAAATGGGTCAACTTTTGGCTTGAGTGGCTAGGGTTGATGAGTTTAGTATATCAAGCTCATGTGGTGGATACTTGGATAGTGCTTAAAGTCAAATAGCCAGTGTCATGGATGATGAAGTTCACTTGGAAAGCTTACTGTAGGATGGGGATTAAGCCCTTGGCTTTTAGGTCAACCAAGGCATGA